CTGTGATGCTTGTTACATAGCTTCAGCATATATCCGATTTCTAATTTATCTTTAGAAATATTTGTTTAAAGCCAGTGACATAATTTGATATATATGTATCCTGTGTATAAAATTTCAACACATCTCCAGGTAGGCATCACTCTATAAACTGATATTTAGTTGTCTGGAGGTGGAGGTGGTGGTATCTCAATTGTGATATATTGGCTTACTCCCAAGAAAGCAGGTCAGGTGTGAATACAGAAGCCCAGACCTCATAGTAGACCTGCCCTTAGGAAAGCAGGGGTTACTAATACTTGAGCCTGGCAGAGAGTTCTACTTGGTCCAAGAAGGCATAATCTCTAAGGGACTTGGAGAACCCCAGTAACAACTTGAGAAGTATTTATCGCCCTCTATGAAGCTGATAAGCAGAAGACAGGAAGACAGGTGTCACCTGGGAGGTTGAATCGTGTAGGCATTGTGTCTAGCCATTATGGCTCCATGGTAGGGATCTGTCATTCTTCTCCTGAAATATTGCCATTTCCCTGATCTGTGTTCTCAGCTCAACACGCCTATCCCTCTACACATCATTTCTGGTTAAACTCAACCACTTAGCAGTTTCAGCTACAGTCTCTGTGTTCACATGGCCCTAATGAACATATACTCCCTCCCCATTCTCCATCTCCCTCCTGAGCTTCACGTCCATTTCCCAATGATCTCTTGAACATTTCTTTTTGTTTTTTGAAATGGAGTCTCACTCTGTCACCCAGGCTGCAGTGCAGTGGCACAATCTCAGCTCACTGCAACCTCCGCTTCCTGGGTTCAAGCGATTCTCGTGCCTCAGCCTCCTGCATATCTGGGATTACAGTCACCTGCCACCATGCCCTGCTAATTTTTTTGTATTTTTAGTAGAGATAGGGTTTCGTCATGTTGCCCAGACTGGTCTCAAACTCCTGAGCTCAAGTGATTCACCCGCCTTGGCCTCCCAAAGTGCTGGAATTACAGGCGTGAGTCACCACACCCAGCCCCCTTCAACATTTTTATTTGGATATAATACAGAAATATCAAACTCTGCAGATCCAAAATCAAGCTCCTGATTTTCCTCTACTCTTATTCCTCTTCCTATAGTTCCTATTATCTGCTGGTTGATATCCATATCTATTGTGTTCAAAGTTTAGGAATCAACTTTTGTTATCCTCCAACATCCATATTCAATCAATCAACAACATCATGTTTATGGCCATTCTATCGCCTCTCTTTAACACTTTATGAATGTTCATTCTCTTCTCTAACTTTATTATCTCTGCCCTAATTGAGGCCCTCATCTTTTGCTTGGACTACTCTAAGCTTTTCCGACCTGTTCTGGTTTTAGACATGCCCTGCTCAAATAAATCCCCCTAAAATTTCTCAGTGATCTATCTAAAATTGAAATGGAAATACATCACTCCCCTTTATATTGGCTACCCACTTAACACTGATCTCTGATCAGCCGCAAGACACACAAAAAGGCAGTGGAAAAATGGTAAAGAAAAGGTATTACTACCCTAGAATCTTATACATGGCTAAGTGATCTATCAAAAGTGAGGGAAAATAATAGACTCTTTCGGATATACAATGACTAAGAGAGATCCAAACTCTAAACAAATTACTAAAGACTTATTTCAGCAAGAAGGAAAATGGAGCCAGAGTGAAGACATGCTATCTTAAAAATATAATGAAGCATCAGTATGTCATTAAATTAATTTTCTATTAAGAGTAAAAAATACTAACCGTTGTGTTTAATAAAAAAGTGAAACTGAAACCATAGCCAATAATAGCAATTGGAAGAGGAGGTGTTTTCAATGGGCAAGGCATAAAGTCCTTGCCTCATCCAGGAAAAGAATGGAAATACGGAATGAGCTTAGAATTTTAAAGATGTTTTATAGTTAAATATGTAAGTGAGAAATTAAGGATAACATCTAAAGTAATGGATAAAATCTGTAGATTATACAGACAGAAGGGCATAAACAAATTAATTTTTTTAAAGCAAAGAAATAGGATGGTAAATTTAAAGTGAAAATCAGATGCCATCAACAAGTACAAATATAACAATAATAAGAGTAAGTTCCAAAACTTTAAACTTACCTATTTAAATGGCACATGTTATTTACTTGTCTTTTCTTCTATTTTTAATTAGTATATGTGAGTTTTACTTATTTTGGAAGTACATGTGTATTTTGGTACCTCTCTGCAATGGCTAATGATCAAATTGGGGTATTAAGGATATCCATCAACTCAACCATTTATCTTTTCTCTGTGTTATGAATATTACAAATCTGATATTCTAGCTATTTTGGAACATACAATAAATTATGGTTAACTATAATTTTCCTACTGTACTCTCAAATACTAATGTTTATTCCTTCTCTCTAAAATTGTATTTTTGTACCCCTTAATTTGTCTTGAAAATAAAATCCAGATTTATGCTACTAATTGATACATGCCCAAACTGTATTACAGAAAAACGTTACAATTTAAAAATAAGGGGTAGCATAATAATGTGTGCCATGAAAATACTAAAAATTAATAATTCAGGTGCGTAGCATTCATATCAGATGAAACAGAACATAAATTCAAAAGTATTAATAGACAAACAGAAGTAGAAAAGAATTATAACATCCTCCAAACTATAACAATTATAAACTTGTATGCGCTTAGCAGATTCAAAATGTATAAAGCATTATCTGACAAAATTACAGGAAGCAATGGACAGATCCATTCATAATTTTCTCTGATCTACAATGTGTAGATTTTCTCTGATCTACACAATGTGTGGATAAATAAAAAGTTAAGATACATAAAAATGTCAAGAGGATAAATATATAGAAAATAAACAATCAGTGGAGAACTTGAATGAAGGTAAATGTCAGTTGGATACTGAAAAAAAATAAATGAAAAGATTAAAAGCAAGACTAATAAGGAAAAACAACGATGGCTAATATTAATAATCAACATTAGGAATGACAAGAAAAATATATAATATAATGATAGAGTTACTTGTATTTCAAAATTATAGTAGTAGTTTTGTATATTTTCTTATAGATACATAAAAATATCTATTGAGTAGTACATCGGTTTCCTTCAGGGAGAAGAACTAGGTTGCTGGGGAGCAGAGGGGGAAGGCAGGTTTTCTTTTGAACAATGTGAATATATCACCTGCTCAATAAAACTTTAACAAAAGGAGATAAATTTAAAAATTAAAAAGATAATGTACCATGACCAAGTTAACCCAATTGGTTTTTAATGAATTAAACATAGAAAGATGGCATAATAAGTAACAATCAAAAATTGAACCAGAAAATAAATGTCCCCTACCACCCTCCTAAAAACAACAACAACAACAACAACAGCAACAAAGCCCCAGAACTCTTACAGGTCGATGAAGCAAAACACGGCCCAAAGAAAAAGTGGACAAAGTACAGGAACAGGCAATTTCCACAAGATAATACCCAAATGGTCAACAGAAATATACGTAGTTTCAAAAAGGCTCTAATATACTTGTATCCAGAAAAATCCTAGTTAAAATAAAGAGATATTATTTCATGGCAATTGAATTGGCAAAACTAATCTGACAGCAACAAGGGTTGATAGAATGTGGGCCAAAGCAACTCTCTTACACAACTGTAAGGAGGGTAAATTGACACACTAGGGGTGGCAGTGTCACTAGTCTATACATTTAGAAAGTGTGTGCATGTGATTCAGCCATTCTTTTGGGGGTTATATAGTCTCTAGTGAAATTCCCACCCATGTGCACAAGCAGAGCATGTTCAGGACTGGTCATTGTGGCTTTGTTTGCAACAGAGTATAACTAGAAACAACTACAATAACATAAAGAAATAAATTTTGTTACAATCCTGCAAAGGAAGTCAATACAACAAAATTAGTAAATTAGAAATAGATAGACAGATATAGTTAGATAAATATCAAAGACAACGTTGACAGAAAATAAAAGTTGCAGAAGCAGATGTGAAGTATGATATATTTATGCAAAGCTTAAAAACATAGAAAAGATATACATTGTTAGTGATTCCATATATATGTAGAAAATGTTTTAAAATATACATGGAAATGATCAATAACAAATCTGAGAAGGCTGAGAATGGAATTAGGAAGCAGTTCACAGGGAGCATTAATCACTGATAAATGTTATTTTTTCATAGAAAAAATGGGAAGTAATACGGCAAAATGGTAAAAATCAGCAAAGCTGGCTACTGGGTACTGGTGTTTGCTATGTTATTTTCTGTATGAGATGTTTAAAATATTTAATAATTTCAAAAATAAAAATAAAGTACTTATTACAAGGCTGCTTATCACTGGTAATACTTGTAGCATTAGTACAATGCTGGTAGTGCTATTACATGCTGTCGTTATTATAATTAATACCAATCCATCAGCTGCTATTTTAACTGACACGAATGTTTACTGCTAGAGGATACACCCTGTTAAAGAAGCTTGTGAATCTTCTGGTAAATGCAACAATCCTTTTATAAGAAGGAGAATAATCTCTAACAGCATATATATGTTCTGTAAGTTGGAATTTTTGTAGATTGACTATTTCAAAAAACTTTATTTGCTTATTTACTGCCTGACTAAACCAGTCTTTGAAAACAAAGGCCAATAAAATAAACTATATTAATTGACAACTATTTTTCTGAAAATATTTTATCTTTCATAGCCAGTTTTTGGTTACCAGTCTTGTAAGCATGCAAGAAAAATTGAAATCTAAAAATAAGAACCAACAGAAGTCAAATTATGACCCCTTAACAAGAACAACAAAAAAAACTTTCAAAGCAATAAGGACATGGAGAAAGACTTGTTTCAATGATGTTATTTTATATTTACATATTTAATAGATAATGTGATATAAAAACTAACATTCAAACATATTTAAAAAGAATGATAGTTTCTTATATTTGTAATATAATTTATGCAACACGACGTGAAATACTAGCAATAGAATGCTGGGGGAAAAAAAGTCAACCAACCCTGAGAAGAGTGTACTGTGGATTTAGCTTCTTCCTCATCCATTGAGGCACAAGCGTTCTTCTCTGTTTCTTTCTCTGAAAGGCCAGCTGTATTATCCACTCCTGATTCTGCTTTCTCTCCTTTAGCCATTAGACAAACTGGAAATTCAGGGGGAAGTCGAGTGCGGCTTTCATGATTTTTTTGACCATCAAGATGCAAAGGAAGTTTAATGACCTATTAAGAGAGCAATCTGTTATCTAAATTGTTGAAACTATTACATAGTTTTCATCTTTAAAAAAGAGACAATTTGAAAAAGCTAAAATATCAATAATAAATTCAGTTTTCCAGACATTATATGCTTTGGTTTGGTTGCATTACAAAGAATGCAGGTTTTTTGCATTAACAAATTTACACAAGTGCTTCAGATAGTACCATTTGCTCTCTATATATTAGTTTCTCCTTTATTTCAGTTTATAATTTTTAAAATTTCTTCTTCCAAATAACACTATCTAACGTTCATACTAGGAGAAAATTAGCAAATATTCATTCACTATTTACCATCTCCAAGAAATAATATTTTAAGTTCAACAAGAAATGACAAGATTGTAGAATCTAGCAGTGAATGAGTGCTCATTATACAATTTTTTCAATTTTTCTGTATGTTTAAAATTTTAATAGTAAAAGTGCTTGGAGACAGTAATGACACAAGAAGTGAAATATTCAGGAAAGTGAGGAATTGACAGACAAAGCTTCCTGGGAAGGAGTGACAGGCTATCTTTCTGACATCATTTTCACTGTTGCATCCTTACACACATGCTGTGGGGAGTCTCAGAGCTGTTGGCCAGCCTCCTCTGGGATGCTCAGGGTTATTAATCTGAGTACTATCCCTAATGACACTGTGAGAGAACACGTGAATTCATGGCTAAGCCACGTGACCTGGCTCTGCCAGCCCCTCGTTGACAGTATAAGTTTCTCCACACTGACTGACCCAGGAGAGAAATGTTCAGGATTCACCTGGATTGACTTGTTTCCTTTTTATCTTCTAACAGGGCATTGCAAAAAAACACTTTGCTGTTCCATCATCTGCATTACTTCTCTTTTCTCTTCCCAATTCCAACTTATTCTTTTCTGAGTAAATACATCATTAACTTGTTCAAAAATGTTTGCATTTGAGAAAACTTATATTGGAAAAATCCACAACTTTTAGAATTTCACATAAGAGGAAACTGAGGTTTCCAGAAAAGAAGTTTTTTGTTTTTGTCCTCATGAGAGAGAAGGATCTACATGCGTACTTATTCTGCCTACAATCAGAAAATCACGCATCTTGCATGTTATTATTCTCATTAATAAGACTCACTTCCCCATGAAATGTTCAGAAGGAGAAAATTATTTTTATTGTCTATCAAATAAGAATGTTAGTGGACAATTGCGTCCATTTCTAATGGATAATGCCAGCTGAACTCTGCAAATAAATTATAGTATTCCTTATTTTTCTCTACAGAGTATTTTTAATAGAAAGTCAGAAAAAACGAGGCAAATTTTAGTAATACGTTCAAATTCAAGTAGATTTTGGTCAAATCAAATTATTTTAATGCTGCTAAAATATACCCACTGTTCTTGACCTTGCAAATATTAAACACTACTTCGAATTTAACCTCAAATATATACTGTCTTTATGATGAATAACAGTACTACATAAATTGTCTTTTATAAAACAAAGCTGGTTCTGACTTTCCATCCCATAATTTATAGAACACTGAATTTTAGGAAACAGTTAGTGAAAAAGTCAGTTAATAATTATAGATGTCTTCCACATGAGTTAGACCAAAATTTACTTATTTATTTATTTATTTATTTATTTATTTATTTTGGGCCAGAGTTTCGCTCTTGGTGCCCAAGCTGGAGTGCAATGGCGCGATCTTGGTTCACTGCAACCTCCACCTCCCAGGTTCAAGCGATTCTCCTGCCTCAGACTCCTGAGTAGCTGGGATTACAGGCACCTGCCATCTCACCCAGCTAATTTTTGTATTTTTAGTAGTGGCAAAATTTAACCATGTTGGCCAGGCTGGTCTCAAACTTCTGACCTCAGGTGATCCACCCACCCACCTCGGCCTCCCAAAGTGCTGAAATTACAGGCATAAGCCACCACACCCAGCCCAAACTTTACTTTCTTATGGTTATATTTATTTTGACTCTTGGTATGGAATTCAGGTCACCAATTTTTAAAATATTTTCTTATGGATTTTCTATAGTTATCTTCAACCTTTAGATAAATTTTCAATTTTTTTTACATTCACTTATAATAGTCTTCCTTTTCAAGCTTATTTATATCAGCATTTCTGATTCTTAGAAGGTGTTAAAAAGTTCTGATGCCTGACACCCCACCACAAAACAACTAAATTAAAATATCTGACACTAGAACCCAGGTAAAAGTATTTCTAAAACTTCCCACAGAATTCTAGTGTGCAATCAGATTTATCTTAGGATGGCACTATTTCCAAAATGAATAGACAGGTACATATTCATATAAACATTATTTTATTAATAGCATACCTACACTGCCCCAACACGACATTTCAGCGAAACATTATAATGGAATTAGATAAGAAGAAAAAATGCCAGGTAATTCTACTCAAAGTAAATAGGAAACAGGAAGACCGTTGCTGATTTTAAGGACAAAATTACATGTGCTTCCTGGGAACACCCAATTGAATAGTTCTATCAGTTAGGTAAGTAGATAGGTAGACAGACAGACAGACAGATACATTACATAGATATAAATAAAACTTCAAACATGAAGGTGAAGAAGAACAATTGACGGCATTATATGACACGAACAACCTGGGGAAAAACATCATAATCAGGAAGAATAAATTTGGATACAAAGAACACACCACGAATGTGCTGGAATGCTTATCCTTTTTGCATCCCTAGAGCAGGCAATGCCCAATGCACAATAGAAGCTCAGTAAACACTTTTTTTTTTTTTTTTTTTTGAGATAGGGTCTTGCTCTGTTGCCCAGGCTAGAGTGCAGTGGCATGATCTCGTCTCACTGCAACCTCCACCTCCTGGGTTCAAGCGATTCTCCTGCCTCGGCCTTTCAAGTAGCTGAGATTAAAGGTGCATGCCACCAAGCCTGGCTAGTTTTTGTAGCTTTTTAGTAGAGACAGGCTTTCACCATATTGGCCAGGTTGGTCTTGAACGCCTGGTATCAAGTGATCCACCTTGACAAGGAAACTTACCAGAGCTCCATCCCCATGTTGATGAGATGAAGCTGCACACTCTACCCCAGCAGTGACAGATTGTGAACTGAGACTTGAGTGGCAGCTCTGGCCCATTCACAACGCAGAAAATTTTATTAAATGATCTTTCAATTTCCCACTAATTCTATAATTTTATTCCTTTTTCCAAATATTGATTTAATCTGTATTATCAGAAATCAGCATTAAGATGTAATAACTTTTACCATTCTATGCCACTTTACTTATTAAATTTTCCAATGGCATGAACAGAAGCTGAAGGCTAGAAAGAGGCAGCTTTAGAAAACATTTTAATTCCTTGCCACTTAAAAAATCATACTGCAAACCTGAAAATAGAGATTGCACAGCCAATGGTCCAAGTCCAAGCAAATCAAATCTTCAATCTTCCTAAAGTTGCTGAGTTTCTGGTCATAATGTCCTCGGAGAAGGGGACACTTAAATTTTCCCTCCACTGTATTAAAGTTGTTATCACACAGAGGGAACACTGCCCAGCCCACAGCCCGGTCCAGGCAAGCATAGGTGCCACGAAGGAGAAACAGTTCAAACAAGAAAGCCACGCCAGGGCTCACATGTTTCTCTTGAGGGAGCACCTATGAAAAATATTAAGAAAAGAGAAGATAGAGATGCTTGTGGTTTTAGAAACACGTTACATTCAGTGATGACTATACACAATTTAGAATTAAGTAAAACGTTGGTCTATACTCCTGTGGTTGGCCCTTGAAAACTCACCATTGGATGTCTTTACATTCACAGTCCTTCTAGCCCCAGGTAATTGAGCAACCATGAAAATGTGATCTACACAAATTTGACCCTGCCAGTTAAAGAGTCTAAACTTCATGCGTTTTAGAAATCAAGTTTGCAACATGTTAACTCACATAGTAGTCTGTGTTTTCATTTCATTCCTCTTTGATCGAGCTGGCACCTCTACTGTATAACTATTTCTATCTTCCATAAGGGTCATTGTTTTGAATGCCTGCCATTCATTTTTGTATCATTCACTTTCCCAGCACAACTGCATCACACAGAACAAATGCTTTTTAAAAAGTTATTAAATAAATTATCACAAATTATCCTACCCATAATAATAACTTGAATTATTATTCCAAAGTCCACCTCTGGAAGAATGAATAGAGTCCTAGTTAATTTTGTGATTTTTCTGTTTATTTCAGTTGACACTATAATGCACATGCTGTATAAGCGAGTTGTCAGTGCTAAATAAATAGAACTGAATGTAAAGATGGGCGAAATAATCAGAATGACCAAGCCACTGATCAAGTCCCCAGATGTAGAGATGGAGCCTATTCCATGACCTTAAAACAAAATTTAGAGAAATGTAAGACATAAATAATCTTTTTTAAAAACTGAGTTGTAGTCTTCGATTTCTTTTTAGAATTTTGTGTGGATAATTACAAGTAGACAAAGATTGGGACTTAGACTATTTTTAAACATATATTTAACCAAAAGTGTGTAGGTATATTGTATATTATTTTTATAAATATTCCAAGACTTAGTTTAGGTATAAAATGAAACAGAGGCATCTGTTGAAAAATGCCATAACCTTGTGGCAGCTGCTATTAAACCATTAACAGGATCAGGTTTTATTTAAACCAGATTTATAATTTTTTTACAACAGCCTATGGGAAAGCTAAAAACACTAGGCACAAATCACTGACAAAAGAGAACCTTATTCAAGCTGTACTTTTCATTTGGCTAGTTGGCTGTGAGTAACCTTTGTGATACGAGAATAAAAGTTGAATTGGGAGAAGGAGTCAGAATCCTGTTTTGGGCCATCATTTAAAAATCAAGTTGAACTGATACTATCGACAATAATTTCATCTATTTTTAGCCCTGCATTTAGAAGTGAAAACTAGAGCCCCTGTTACACTAAACTCCTATGT